GTTTCTTAATTTAGCTGACAATGTTCAGTAATCACGAGAAATATAGTGCCTGAACTCCTGCTCCACAGGTTTTACGCAGCCTTGTCCATGACCAGGTGTCAGATATGATCCCCATATGGACAGGTGTGTGTGTGTGTGTGTGTGTGTGTGTTTATCACACAGATCTGCTTCTTCCTTTCTCCTGCCTCCTTCTCTGACTTGTTTATTGACTGCACTTAACCCTCCCTTCAGAGAAACATAAGGTGCTGAATTTGTTAGCCCCGTTTTTAATGGACTGCTTTTCTCCACCATTTTGGGATTATGCTAAAGTAAAGCCCCCTCCATCGGCAAGAGGCAGAGAGGGGAAGGCAGGCTGTGTGTGCGTGCGTGCGTGCATGTGTGCGTGCATGCCGAGTTACATAGAAAGCATGGAAGCATAAGTCTGTGTTTTGTTCCCTCTCGTGTGTTCTGCGTGGAAGAGTGACAGCCCCTGACTTACCCTTGCATTATCCCGTTCCTGAGAGTGTGTGTGTGTGTGTGTGCCCCCTCCTCCCGGCCCGGCCCCCCAAGCTCTCCTCTTAGCTGTGTAAAACCCTGAGAGGTAGCTCTGATAGTACACACAGAAGAATACAATTTCAATTTCAATTGGCAGCCCTGTTAAAAAGGAGCTATGGAGATGGCAATCAGGCCTGGGGGAAAGCTGAGCTCCCTGTAACTGTGTGTGTGTGTGTGTGTGTCCCTCGACTGCTTAATATCAAGCTTTTCTATTAGTTAAACAGGCAGATGTCACTGATGTGGACTGTGTATTAGTGCATTTTGTGTGTGTCGTGTGAGTGTGAGTGCCCTCTCTGGTGTCCCCATCACATTGACTCTTTAATAAATACGCCTGCCGTTCTATCAGCAGTCAAACAACATATGAATGCTCAATGACACGCTTGACAAGCCATGCAACTGTGCTGAATGGGTTGTGCGCACACGCACACATGCGCACACACACCCACAATGTGTCAGAGATGTCTCTTTCATTGCTCTGCACTGTCCTGTCTTCTCTCCGCTCAGTATCTCTGACTGATATCAGGCGGAGTTCTGAGAGGCTGCTGTAGGCCAAAATGTTATTTCTGCAGCAGTAACAAAAAGAGAACAGAAAAAACAAAACAAAGTGTGGAGTGGTGCTCACAACGTGGTCCGAGGTGTGTAATATTTTCCCACTAAAAAACTTCTATGTTGTACACCGCTTCATTCTGATTTTTTTTTTTTTTTTTTTAGTTTGACGGACACGAGGTAAGATGAGGCGAAATCTTAAAAACTCTTCAAAGACATTAAAAAGGGTTGGAAACAAAACGTACTGTGACTCATAGAGGCCAGAGGAAGAAAAAAAAAAACGCTCTAAAGAAGTGAATTAAATGAGATTAGAAGAAGGAAAAGCGGGAATGAGAAAACAAAAGTGCACACGCTTGATGGATCCAGTGACCATGTTAAATTGGTTCTATTGACCCTGCCAGAGCTCCGTTTAACACTCACACTTGTTTGTCTTGTTTTACTTAATTGAGCTCAGATAAGTAATTACCATTTCCTGGAACACCAGTACATTACTCTCTCTCTCATTCTCTGACCCCTCCCTCTCTCTCTCTCTCTCTCTCTCTCTCTCTCTCTCTCTCTCTCTCTCTCTGTGTCTGCCCTGTGGCTGTTTTGATGGTAAGAGAGACGTGACCTTTGCACAGAGTACCGCAACTTCCCAGAAGTGTGACGATGCAAAGCGTCCTGTCCACCTTTAAGCCCTTCGTCTGAAAGCTACTTGTTGCCGTTGAAGTTTCAAAATGGTGCGTCACAAAAGTTTTTGTCATTTTAAGTTTAAAGTGCTGTATCGTGGTTAAGGTACAGCCTGCATAGAGCTCAGGTCCAGGATCAGTGGAAATCAAACAAGATTGCACATTTGAACATTTGCGCGTCACTCTGGGGGCGGGTCTCGATCCGGAGAAAACCTTTCGGACAAACATGTGAGGGACAAACCGACGTTATGGCGTAACAGCAAAACTAAATGTGTGACACACTGTGGCTATTGTGATGGAATCAAATAACTGAAATAAAATCCTTATTTATTCTATGAAATGCCCTCTTCTCTTACTATCCTATCCCGTTCAGAGGGAACTACAAACATCCAGTTGGAAGAAAAAAAAAATATATATATATATATAATATGCTTCTGTCCACCATTTTTAATCAAACTTTGGGGCAACGTGAACAGATTTTAGTGCTCTGGCTTCTGTCTGAATTGTCGGTAATATCGACCAATTATGTTTGAGTATTTAAAGTGTTTACAGGTAAATAATCCATGTGTGCAAAGGAGGCGTAACACATTGGCTGAGATGCGACCTCCAAACCCATTGGCTGTCGTCTGATGGTGTTTTCCATCCCAACGGGCTTCTAAACAGGCTTGTTGTCCAGCCTCGCATCTCAAGATGCTAAATGGACTGTGAGCAACGAGAAGAAGTTATTGCCCTGGAAATACAGCCGCTTGACCGCAAAGGCTCACCTGTTGGCCGCTTGCCGCAGCCTGACGTGACCGCCGCGTCAGCACGATTTTGATCTTCTTGATTACTATCGAACTGAAACATAGGATGTGACTGTCGCACCTTCTCGCATCGTGTCATTGTGGCACGGTCTGCCCGGCGTCATCCCCGTCTTTCCATGTACTCGCTACTTCATCCCCGCCCCCCCCAACCTGCGTCGTAACAGAGCTGTAATGTGCCCCCTCGGTTGTTGTAAGCAGGCCACAGTGTCTCTGAGGCCTTGTGCTACACCACCATTACTATCTGGCTTGCCTCCACTACAAATTGGATGAACAGGCACTGACACATTTTCAATATTATTACATTAAACCAAGTGGATTTTGATTGATAACCTAATATTGGCCTAATGCAAAACATCAATCATGGCAAGTATATTAATTATTTAATATTGTGGCGTAATTCAGAAATCGATGCTGCCTCTGCGTTGAAGGCACAGAGAGCGGAGGGAGGGAGGGAGATGAGGAGAAAAGGAAAGCGCCGTCCCCGAAGACCTCAGCAGATTATATGATGTTTTGAAAAGAAAGATGAGGATGTAAAATGGTGTGTGCGTGCGTGCGTGCGTGTGTGTGTGTGTGTGTGTGTGTGTGTGTGTGTGTGTGTGTGTGTGTGTGCGCACATGTGCATCTAATGGACCGAGTGATCCCTTCGGCCCTGGTGCAGACAGTGCCGGACAGCTTTCCCTTGATAAAGTCCAGCCAACAGATGACAGAGTGAGGGATTAAATGCAAGTGAAGAGTTTAATAAAGGTTGAATCACAAAAAATGGAATACAGGGCTAAAAAAGACTTGCAAGGGGGAGAGAGAGAGAGAGGGGAGAAAGGCAAAAGTGAAAAGAGTGGAGGAGGAATTGAGCGCAGCGTCTCTCCCCTGTGTTGGATTGTTTCTCACTAATTGCGCTTCATTAGCAGATTACACACACTGTCACCACGGTAACAAATGTCCTGCTGTCCGCTTGCCGGGCGCCCGTCATGTATAATGAATGTGGCGGGATGTTTGTGAGGATGTAATGTAATTACAGCTAGATGAAGTTTGCCTCAGTGGTTGACTTGTCTGCATGTGGCTGAGGCAAACATGCTTTCTTCCCACCTTCTGGTTGTTTCTTACTTTTGTAAATGTTTTCATTTAGCATTTCAGTCCTTCATACCTATTTATTTACGGCAATGATGCTGGAACGGCCGAGGTTTGTGGTCACACTGAGTGTGCAACCCGGCCCGATGGATGGAAGGAGGGAAGCGGGGAACGGATGGAGGGATGGAGGGAGGGAGAGGTGGGGTGGGATGGATTAGACAGCATGTAATTTTAGAGATGGTGTAGATTTACACTGTGACGCTGCTAGCTGCATTAGCAACTGAAGCCTGTCGATAAGCCTTCCTCCTCTCTGACACACACACACACACTCAATGTGAAACCCCTCGGCCAGGGTGAGGCTGTCAGTAATAGGGGCCAGAGTTTGGGGTGGGGGGGTTCAGGGATCTGGTTGGGGGAGGGGAGGGGAGGGGGGTTTGTGTTCTCTTGATCTGTTGATTTCCACCGCTGCATATTTGAAATGTGCCAAAATAGCATCTATTATTTACTGCCAATTTGCTCTTTTTAAAACCGACTGCTCCCCTCTCCTTCCACTTCCATGGCCCGCCATTCTGCTGTTGCTACCCTGATAATCATGCACACATTTATTTTTTTAATAATTCACGAATAACAGACTGAGTTCTTTCGCTGCACTTGGAAATTGTTATGACTGCCAACAGTGCGGCAACGCTATTAGCTAACCTCTGTCTGGTGTGTGTGCAAGCGCACGGCACTTGGGTCATTCTACTTCTTTCCTTTTGCTTTACAAAACTCTTCTTGATGCCCTGAAGATCAATTTCTTGCACGATCATTTCCATCCAGCTCATATCTGAAAAGAAAATCAATAAGATGGCGATAACGCTGACTGTTTTTCACTTACAGCTGATAATTGTCAACTACACAACAATACATTACAATTGATTTGTTGTTTAGTCAATTTTCAACCGGAAATGTATATTTATGAAATCAGGCTTCTCAAATGACGAATACTCTGATTTTTCTCTTGATCTTGAAAATGAAAATAAACTGATGGTCACACACAAGCCATTTTACTGCAGTCTCATAATTGTGGGCTCTGAAAACTTGTGATTGGCTTTTTTTGGAACATTGTCTGACAAAATGGACCAAACAATGACTCTTTTGATAGAGAAAATATAAAAAGAAGTTGAGTAGTTAATAATGACAATTAGCTCCGGGTTAAAATATTCATTGGTTCCCAAATTGTTCATTCAAACGCGCCTGAATTGAATTTATTCTTCTCTCCCTTATGTGTATTTATCTATGTTTATTTTTTCTGTGTAAGCACCTGCAAAAAAAATATTGTATTAAATTAAATTTTGTGTCTAAGCTTTATTTACAGTAGTGGAAATGTGTTGTTGTGTTGCAGGGAAGCCGCGAACATCAAAGGCAGATTAGAACATCTGGTAAGTTTTATTTTATTTGACACCCCCCTTTTATTCCCCTCACAGCACGCGCGCGCACACACACACACACACACACTTTGATATCTGCATTCCTAATGAAACCGCGGCATTGGAGCGGAATACCGGCAGTTATAGGCAGGTAGATTGAGCGAGAGAAAATGTAGAAAAGGGGGATAGAGGGAGGTGAGTGTGCCCCCCAGGGCCTGGTCAACCCTTTTATATTAGCGTTTAATTCATCCCACACACACACACGCACACACTGAGCATTTAGTTGTAGGTATTTGAAGGTTTTTTGCATGTTTGCATACCTGTTAGCTCCTGGATGAATGAAAGGAGAATCCACTCCAGCTTGGTGCCTTCCCTCAGTCTTCTCCCATCCGTGGGTCTGCAGCTTGCCGGAAGCGTTCTCCCGGGACAGCCCTGAAAAATTGAATATCCGACGTTCCCGGCATTTCTCCTGCCACTCGCTTTAATTTGGGGTCAGAGAGCCGTGCAACACAGTGCGAAGGTTCTCTCTCTCTCTTTTCGGGTGGGAAGGAAGCGAGGTTTGATGTGCCCCATATTCCAGGGGATGAATTATAGACGGGGGTCAGCGAGGGTCCTGGCTCTCTCCGGATGTCACATGCCCCCCCCCCGCCCCCCTCGCCTCTCTGCATATTAAACCTGCGGCTCCCGGCACCTTACGCAAATGACCCTGAATATGCCACACAAATGACCGACCCGTGGAATCAAACAGCTTGCAGTGGTGGCAGAGCCGGGTGATTTTGACCCCTGCCTTGAAGGCTGGGTTCAGTCGCAGAATGGTTCCATGCTATTGACCAATCAGAACTGATTGAAGTGGAAAGAGGCCGGAGTCAGTTTGCCTGTATTCTATTTCCCAGTTTACGTTGAAAAACCCCTAGGGCTGTCAAAGCTGTTATTACATGTACAGCTATAATACAGCTATTCATTCTTAATCCAGCACTGAGCTCTTCAGCTGTCTTCAAACAATCCCCCCCCCACCCCCCCCCGTTCTCTAATTCACCGCTCCCTACTTTCGCTCCACCGTGGGATTCTTTCAGAGAACTACATCGCGTATGGATTTCTCTCTCAGGTCAGACACTTAAATAAAATGATGGACATCAAATACAGTGCACGAGGTAGTAATGGTCTGGTTTGGCTTTGGAGAGGTCTGTGGTCAGGTCTGGAGGTGTGATGGATGTGTGCTCCATAAAGAAAAGGGTGGGGGGGGTCTGAATTATTCACGAGAGGATTACTTGCATAAACAGTATTAATCAATGTGTGTATTGGCAGTAACTTCTGGGCAAACATTAGGTAATGCGTGTCTCATGTTGGGATTGGACTTCCTCTTAAAGGCAAGTGGAGGAATGTGAACTGATTTCCATAAGTGATACTGCGCAGACAAATAGAATGTACAGTGTAGGTATGGATATATAGACGTGTGAGCATGTAACATATTATCATTTCATCGTAGGTGGACCTGTAGCACCAGATTATTACGTGCATTTGATTCTCCGTATCGGTCGGGCTCCGCTCAGAGTTTAACAACACACACACAGGTATGTTTACTGAATATGTACATCTCTGGAAAATTTGAATACGTGGATCCTGAGTGTTTGAATTTATGGGTGTGTTTATGCTCATGGGGAGATTGCTCCCCTGTAGTTGCCCGCTGCCCGGGGAGCGCGAGACTCTGATTACGATTCGGGACGGAGAAGTGTAAATAATGGCCCCCCTCCCCCCTCGGAGGTGGCGTTTCTCTCTGTACCTGGCACATATATCCTAGAGGGTTTCTAAACAGGTGTTTATGACTCTGTGTTGATGAATCAACCACATTGACACTTAGAGTTGTCACCAAGCCGAAGTAAAATAATCCTTTTGAAGTAGCTGCCGGGGGGCCCTGCTCGCCATCAAGCAATTGATTTGAATTGATTTTGATCATTTGTTCACAGCAGCCATACATACTTGTGCTTTACCGATAATAGAAAAAAGAGGAAACCGTCAGTCTAACTCTGTTCAAATAGTTATTGTGCTTGATTTTTCCCGATGAATACGAACGCTGCTGCCTCGTGTTAAGTTAACTGTGTGAGCAAACAACCTGGGTAGTAATTAGTCGTCCAATTAAGATTTATGTGGTCTGAGTTTTTTTTTTTTTTATTGTTCATGTTGGTTTTGTTTTGGTATTTCAGCAGATTGAGCGAACGCGATAGGTAGTGATGCCGAGAAAGAGACTGAAGTTAATTGCTCCCAGCGCTCTGCGTTAGTTTCTGCTTTTGTACGCACGCACACGCACGCACGCACGCACGCACGCACGCACGCACGCACGCACGCACGCACGCACACACACACACACACACACCGACGCATATTCACATATTGCTTGCCGTGGGACAAACGGAGCGATAGTGAGAGAGAGGTGGCCTACAGCAGCTAATCAGTGCAGATGCACAGCTTCTAAGAGCAAAGTGGTGGAAAGCCAGCAGCTCAATCAATACACGAGGAATCAGCCTCATCAGGATCACTCGCTCAATCAGCAGCTGCACTCATCGTGCTACCGCACACAGCGCCCGGGGCAGCGTAGAAGAAGAGAGGGGCGAGAACAAGAAAAAGAATGGAAACAAGAGAGCGGGAGGAAAAAAGGCGGCTCGGTCCAAGGGTTCAGGCCGAGGCCACATGTCACAGAAAACTGAAATGACGCATATGTGTTGTCATTGGAGCATTTGCGACATGTCGAGATGGGACATAGAAGTTTTGTAAAAGCATTTAAAGTTTTAGATTTGAACCGTATCCATAACAGACACGTTGTTTACGCTGAATTGTTTTCACATTGTTTGTATATGATAGTCGAGTACTTCATTGAACCCTAGATATCTCATTTTTGAGTGGAAAATAGGTGACAATACTACATGACAATTTAAAATCAAATTTTTGTGTTGTGTTGTTGTCCCTCTATTGATGACATGAGGTCATTTTGGCGTGACAATATGTGTGACAATTTTTCAAACCAATACAATTAAGCATATTCTCGAACAGTAGCAGCATTTCTAAATGAGGTTAGCTATTTAACTGGCTGAAAACAAAATGGAAGAAGCATACTTCCTCTAATTCCGGCGATTCCCTAAACCTTTTGATTAGAAGCAACATTTAAAGTGTTTTGGGGGCATTGTGTCGTTTAAAGTTGCCCCACTTATTTATCTAAAAGTTGCACATGGCTTCCTTCAGGGACGGCTGGTGTCATCGGCCCAGCCGTCCCTTGGCGAGGTGAAGAGTTTACCGAGGCAAATGGCCCCGTTGGCCCACTGACGGATTGGCAACAGCAGCTGGAGTCAAGACGACGACTCACTCGCACACCAAGAATGGGATGAGCCCCCCATACCCCTCCTCCCAACATGAGCGAGTCTACTCGTAAAATACTGGGAGTTGCCCGTTTATTTGCTATATTTTGTGTCCACCTTTAATTGTCTCATTAGACGCTTGCTCTTTATCTCTCACAGTCTCTTTTTTTCTTTGTCTTGGTCTCTGTCTGTCTTTCTTCCTCACTAATATGATTCTAAAGGATAAAGAGGTGAAAACGGCTCAGAGAGGGAGATTCGGGGCAGATAAAGGCGGACATGGGGAGGTGTTGGCGGGGGGGGGGGGGTTGGTGTTGATAATCTGCAAACAGATTTCCATGCTTATTACACTAATGATTTCATGATATTTGATGTGTCGGCGGGGGTGGGGAGGGTGTGAGCGGGGTGGGGTGGTCTCGCTCTCTCTCATATCTCGGCGGCGCTGCTAAATGATGGAGTAATTTGAGTGACCTCTGACTCGGGGCAGGCCCAGACGTAATTGCATGTCATCCTGGCACAGAATGAGGGGGAAACAGCGGTGTGGAGGGAGGGGGGGGGGGGATCCACAAAATACAAAGTGTTCCCCAGTCTTCCCCTCCTCTCTTGCATATCACTTCTGTTATCGTGTCTCCTTTTCATGTGACCTCATCACTGTCTTGCTGTCTTGCTCTCCATCCTTGGCGCCTGTCTCTTGTTGGCTCGCTCCTTGAGTGTTTCCAACCCCCCCCCCCCCCCCCCTGCCTGTTTCCTCTCTCCCCACAGTGGGATAAGCGAAAGCCCCTGGGCGGGTCATTTCCAACACACATTCCCCCTGGACTCCCTCTATACACACACACACACACACACACACACACACAGTTCTGTCCTCTGAGCCTCGTGTTTGTTTGTGTGCGTCGGAAGGCACAGTTCTAATTGAGGGGCGAAGCCACTTCAGATGCAGCGGGGGCCTCTTCCCTAGTGGGGGGAACACAGTTCTGCCTCTGGGGAACACAATTAACGCCTTTTTATTGTTTACTAATGAACTACACACAGAGGAAGCGGGCACGCACGTGTGAACCAGAGAGAGAAATAGAGAGTTTGTTGGGAGGCACAAACATGCGTTTTTGTGCGCGAGTACTTGTGTGTGGGCTCTGTCTCATTATATTTGCTTAGTTGTGAGTTCACTTCTGAGTATATTTCAGATCCCTTGATAATTTGGTATTAATTGGCCTGTTTCTGCCTTCATTTAGTTCTTCAGGCAGGAAGCACATGCTGGTCCTGTTGATTTTTTTTCTTCTTCTTTTTCTCCTGTGTGTTTACTTAAAAAACAATTCAAGGCAGAATCGCACACGGAACAACACTTCTGCGGTTAAACGTCGCTGGCCACACGGCAGCTTTAACGCGTTAAAGCAGGTGTTCGTCCACGGCGACCGATCGCTGTGGTGAGGACGTTGCTCAAAAGTCTTAAAGGCGTCAGACAACCTAGCAGTATTTAGTTTTCCCCTTCTATGCGATGTTGTGTTGTGCTCACAGCTCACTGTGAGTGTGTGTTTGTGCGTCGAGGATGCGCAGACTTACACATGCCTTAAGGCCCATGTAAACAAATGCTAATGTAATTACTGACGGGGGCGTTTTGAAAAGCTGTAACCAAGATGATTGCACAGCACACAATGATCAGGTTAGTTAAGATGTGATATGTTGCCGCTTTGACTGGTCGCACCGAGACCGATTCCCGCGTCCTTCTAATTGTTCGGCAGGATGAGCCCGTCACCATTTAATTGGGTTTGAATCCTTCCCAGGACCATTATTTTATGGCATGTAATCCTTGCTTCTGCTGTACAGACGATGCCTGAAAGCATAAAAAGGGGCAGATCTTTGCCCGTATCACTTTCCCATGAGGGGAAGATAGAAAGTGTGTGTGTGTGTGTGTGTGTGTGTGTGTGTGTGTGTGTGTGTGTGTGTGAAGCCCTCAAGTGTTCCTCCTCTTCTCAGCATATAGTGTTAGATTTCAGCTGCGAGAGGCAGCAGGGAGCGGTCATATGCACTGTACAGGGAGACACAGAACACACACACACACTCCGACATCGGCGTTTGGGTTAAGTGTGCGTCAGTCTTTCTCAGGTCCCTTGATGTGCTTCCCATCTAGAAAACAGACCCCTGACCCCGCTACATTAAAAGGGGTCTTTTTTTTCCCCGGGCGCCCACCGAAAGGGGAGTTTTTTACAAAGTGACACGTTTACAGTTGGATAAATCGATTTCCCCCCCCCCCCCCCCCCCTCCACCGTTGCTGTGGCTGGGGTGGATTACACGGGAGAAGGGATGGTGGGAGGAAGGAGGGAGGAAGGAGGGAGGAAGCGCTGCCTGTCAGCGACGCCCCGGCCCCATCGTCTAAATGATGCTCCCAGGCAGCGGATTCCGATCCGCTCCCCATTAGCATTTAATTTCTCTCTAATCCTACACACAGTCTGCACCGCTGCATGGTAACGAGGGGCCGCCGCGCCACGGCAGCGCCGGAGTAAAAAAAAAGAGAAAGAGGGACAACAACCTGGGAGAGCAATCTGCAGCCTGCTCGCCTTTTACAGCCCTGTCGTAGCCATCATTCTTCCATGACAATTAAGACCCTCAAATCTAATAGCAGTGATATTGGAATTACAGCGAGACCCTATTGAGGGCATGTCAGGAAAATGGGCTGCGCCTCCCAATACAGCTGTCAAAGCCCCCCTCCTCCCCCATCTCATGCCCGCTAAGCGTTTCAGACGCGCACACACACACACACACACACGCACACACACACACACACACACGGGATGGGGAATATGTTGAGTCTTTGGCTGTGATCTTTGTAAAATGTGCTCTCTGTGCCCTCTTATCCAACTCTCCAAAGACTTGTTACAGCAGCTTTTGTTTTCTCTCTTCTCCTCTCACTTTCTGTCTTTCTCTCTAAATTTCTTTTCATCTCCTCTTCATTGATTCTCCCTGATGTGTCAAGAGATGTTGATGCTTTCTCTTTTTCACCAGCAGTTTCTTCTTCTTCTTCTTCTTTTTTTTTTACATGTTTTTTTTCTCCACACACGGATGATTAGACTATTAGATCGGCAAGTTGTTCCTCGGCGCTCCGTGAGGACATAATGGCCGCAGTTAGACATTATCACGGGTGAAATATGTCGAAGCCTCAGGGACACAACAACCGATTACACAGATAAAGCTGTGCAAAGGCTGCCTGTCCCGTCATGAACTGCTCTTTGTGATAACTCGGGCAGAAGGTGCACGTACCGAACAGGTGGACGAACCTTTGCGTCGGTGGGTCTCCGCCTGCCTCAACGTACCGTGCGCCCACGAGCACGAGGAGTTGAATGCAACGTTGCAATATTAACGATGACTTTTCTGTTTTTGTTGTTGTGTCGGTTCCTCTCCCGCAGACTCCAGCAGAGCAGGCTAAGGTCCGAATGCACATGGTGCTGCAGGCTGCAGGTAAGATGGAATGATTTTCTGTTTCTCTTCCCGTTTAAAAGTTATGTTGCCATGTTGTGAAACTAACCCAGTCAGGGTTGCTAACTTAAGGACAGAGAGTGAGAGTCCTGTGTGGAGCAGCCTCGGCCAATAATCTGCTTCACTAGAGATCGCTTTCTGACCAACACTTTTTTGGGGCCATGACAGCAGCATTTGCGGGGCGCTGGGCACGACGATTTCATTGCTTTGGTTCGACACTTTCACACAAATGTCAGACCAATTTGTTTGGCTTCATCTGCTGTCACACACAAACATCCTCATGTGATGTGACCTTAGGGTCACGCAGTCACAAGTCTCGATATTTTTCTACGATATTTTTCAAATATTATATTTTGAGATGTTGTAATTTGAATTGATGGAAACATCCATTTGTATCATCATCATCAAGATATCTCTATTTTGTAATTCCCACGGCACGTCTGTGTCCATGCAAAGGCCCCTCCTGTCTCCAGAGTTCAGTAAGAAAATGGTCAAATCGTTTGTCTTCATTTCTATATTTTCTATACCTCATATTGAATATTTAATGATGAAAACATCAATTTACACCACTATGATCAAGGCCTTCGACCTGAAGGTGCTGTCTTCGATTTACGACCTTTGTGCTATCCAAATGAATATTTGGCTATTCATATGTGATGGATCAAACCATGTAAATATTTTGTTTAGAAAAATCAATCTGTAAAGCATCTCACAGCTACAACTCTCCGAGCTTGAGATAAGCCTCAGCCTCTTGCACACCTCACTGTGCGCCGGGACAGTTTTGTTTGTGACTTGTTTTCCCACACACAAGAGTCACAGCATACCCCCCTCCCCATCCCCCCTCCCACACACACACACACACCATCACAATCTCTCCCGCACACAAAGACAAATGCACACTCACCCTCTCCGGCTCTCTGCTCCGAGTGCTTCTGGGTCTATATTCACTGCAGCTTAATTTCAAACACTCCTCCCAGTACATAAGTCATAGTTGTCACCATGCATGCGGTGTATATATTCCAGTGTGTATTCGAGGGGTAGAGTTGCGAGCCAGATGTGACAGGCAGAGATTGACTGTGGAGAAAGATGTCTTCGTGTTTACAGTCATGCGCGCACACACGCACAGACACACACACGCACACAGGCAGGCGGTCACACCACTTCAGAACAGAGCTCTAATTTCACCACAGGAAATATATGAAAGAAGCGGGCATCTATACATCATCTCTAAAGCACCCGGCAGCCACACACTAACTTCACTTAAGACCCGCCTTAATGAACGCCACTGATCAACGCCGCCCTTCCTCTCTGGGGTTCCAACTTTCCGGCGCATACTCAGCATACTTCATCATACTTTCAAACGTAGTATAAACGCGGAAATTTCAGGATATTTGGAGGTGGAGGACAAATGGAGGCCTGTGTTCCGTTTGCTTAAATATTTTCTGGGTTGCGGATCGGACGCCCCGCATCTCCAGGCTAATGTTGCCCTAATGGTGGGGAAGCGTCATAAATATGAGCATGTGGCTCTGAGTGCAGCGGGCCAGACTGGGGCAGACGCGGGCCCAGGGCCAAACGTAGGACTAGTGGAGAGGGCTTAATGCACTGGACATGTGTCTGGTTTTCTTCTCTTTCCTAGAGGCTTCCAACAGAACAGTTTTATGGACCCGTCAAAGATTGTCTCCACCAGAGAGCCCGCTCTGGCCTGTATCAGGCCTTCAGGTGCCTGTGATAATATCGCTCATAACAATGTACAGTAAAATACAATTGGACAGCTGATCTCTACTTGATAGAGCAGTTATTTCTTGGTAACAGGACTGATTCATCATTTTATTTCTGCTGCCTTTCCTTTCCTGTGTGGTTAGCCATTGAGTGGCCGCATTAATTAAGTTAATTGAAATCGCGTTTCTAATAATTTGCCGCCAACCCTCACATCTTTTCTCCCCATTTGCTTTTTGCCTGTCCCTTGCCGTCTATCTGTCCTCTCGCTCTCCGCCGTCCCGCTGTCTTTGTTCCAGCGTTTCGAGCGGGCCGAGGGGAGATATGGATAGAAAGAGGGAGGGATGGAGGGCGAGAAGGAAGCAGCAGATGTTGGGAGGTTGTGTGAATGTTAATGTCCTGACGTAGCCGTGGAGCTTAAGCCTCCTCCTCCTTCTCCCCTCCGTTCCTCTCTGAGCGCCCGCCAGGCTTTCTCTCTCGGGGTCTCCTGACATCCTTAAAGCCCGTGGCTCTCCTCTCTTCTTCTCTCCTCCACCTCTTTCTCCACCATCCCCTCCCTCCCACCTTTTGTCCGTCTATGGACTCTCTCTAGTCAGTAGAGAGCAGATCATCCCATGGCTAAAGCGGCTCAGGCCTTTGTGTTGGGGGGCTCTGTGGACCTGTAATGAGCCCCGTCGGCTGGCCCGCTGGCCTGCTTAGCGCTCACTGGGGGCTTTGAGAGTGTGTGTGTGTGTGTGTCTCTGTGTGTGTGTCGAGTGGGATGACGAGGTGAGAGGAGGAGGGCAACACTGGCCCCCAATGAAAGAGCTGGATGGATATGTTTATGGGTCACTTCCTGCTTGGCCTACATATCAAACACACACCCACACACACATATCACATTACACCTCATATTTTCAGGACATTCACTTAATAATTCACACAATAATAAGATAATTTTCGCTAAAATACTATTTGTAACTCTTCTGCTTCCCATCACTTTTAGTTTAATAAAACTGACCCTGTTATTATAATTATGTGCTTAACTACGTACATAGAATGTTGACTTTTTAATTGTGATATTCATCATTTATTTTAAAATATTTAAAATATATTTGAATTTCAACGGTGGCCATTAGAAAATGGCAATTAATAGAGATAATTTCATGATTCATTCAAGTCCAGCTGGAAATATTTGGACAGTATATATGGTGTCGAGGTCATAACCAAAAGCAGCTGTCTACTATGTGTCATCCTCGCTGTCTTAATTATCTGTGCCTGCTGTCCACATACATATATATTTATTTATGTACGTATGTAAGCAAAGAACTTTCAAGTATTTTTATTTATATATACCCTCTCTCTCTCACACACACACACACACACACACACACACACACACACACACACAGCACCCTTACATGTGTATTATACTCTTTTCTTTTCAGCCACTTGCAAGATTCTTTGCTCTTTTCAGAGCGGTGTCCGTTTCCTCTCGAATGAGCATGAGCACTGTTCTCAGCAGCGGGCCTCTCCTTATCCACACGTCAATAGGGAGTGTTGGCAGAACACCCACTAAGGACCCGAGGGCCAGGGGTCATCAAAACCTCCGTCTTCTCCCTATTTAAACCTTTGACAGCAGCAAAAACAAACAATCCTTAAGATCTCATCAGAGGCTTGAACTTGGCAGGGTCTCACTAGTCTGAATTAACTTCCTCTTTTCAGTTTGTCTGTTTGACACCTGGCTGGAGTCGGGGGGATGTTTTATCTTGTCGACTAACCCGTTGTCTGTCAACAAAGATTTTATTAGTTGATTTGGCATTTTTTGAGTGGTACGATTGTCAAATAAATGAATAGATAAGCAAATCCAATGAAAACCTCCATCATTACGGTATAACTATTATTTTTTTGCTGTAACCCATTTTCTGGCAGCGGTGACTCACATCCAACTGTGTGAAATTTGACATCTCGTCTTTTAATATATATATTTTTTACTACATTTTTATGATCCGTTAAATAGTCCCCCCCCCCGTCCCGATTGACCAGGGGTGCCGTGATTCTGTACATCCTGAACATCATCTGCCCCCAACGTAGTGGTTCATGTGGACGTCTTATCATGTCTGTAGGAGTATGTCTCTGTCTGTTCCCGTCTGCTCTCTGATTGAGTGAGTGACATAAAGAGGTGGGGAGGGTGAAGGGGGGGGCAGCTAAGCTCAGCAGCATCATGCGATAGGACTAATTCTTCCACAGCAAACACTGGGTATTAGGCTCCTCGGTCGCAGCAGGGGTCCCACATACGCACCCTTTCTCCGCTTCTATTGCGCCGTCTTCCTTGTGCCTCCAGTATCCCCCCCACCGCCCCGGCCCACCCCCTAAGGCCCTGACAGATGTGTGCTGAACAGACCACATACATGGAGGGTGTCACCTTACCCCCCCTGGAACTAAAGGGCTAATGCGCCACATTTAGGAGGCTGCCGCCCTTTGTTCTGCCAGGGAAAGAGGTGACGGGGATGGGGAGGCTGAGACGAGACCCAGCGCTTTACACAGCCTAAATCTCCTTCTTTATTTCCCTGGGCTGTCTGCGTTTTTTTTTTTTTTTTTTCCCTTTTCCCCCTCAACATCAACTTTCCTCCGTCCTCGTTCTTTCAATTTTCTCACAGCCTCTGAGCTTTTACGGTCGTCTCTCGGACGCCGCTGGATTTGTTGGCCGGTGAATAATGGTTATCACACGTTATCCCTCGTGATCGTATTAACGTAACTTCGGTCATATGGACCAACCGGGGTGATTGTCACAAACGCCATTCAGCAGCGACCGCCATTTCAAAGGGGATTTCTTTTTTTGTACAAACATAAGGGAATTACCCGGTAATAACTCCCAACCACATGTTCTCTTTACTAAAGGTGTTTTTTTTGGAAGCAGCAGCAGCACTTCACAAACAGACTTTAAGCAGTTTGAACTGAAAGGAGGGCTTTTGCTGTGGAGGTGTTTTCTGCCAACCAAAAAATGGTAAACAACTTGCTTGGAGCATTTCAAAAGCAAAAAAAAGTGAGGTTCAGGTTTTTTTGTTTTTTTTTGTGTTCCGCTCTGTCTTGCAATATTACTGCTGCTGAATTTGTTTTAATGTAACTATAAAGGTTCAGTCAAAGATCAGATAGAGCAAGGAGCGGGGGGGGGTTGGAATAAAACAGCTAATCATGACTCAAGGAGTTTAATGATTAAAACATCTTGGTCCGCTGAGGAAACTTGCAAATGTTTACCCTGCAGCACTTAAAGGCTTCGACTTGAA